AGCAGATGAGAGGGACACCCGGCTCGAAACTCAGGTCTTTCTGACCTCAAGTCTGAGTTCTTGCCAGTTCCTCTCTGCAAGGAACCAGCCCTTCTCCGGCCATCTTGTCCCCGATCTGGCTGATCCCCAAGCTGCCAGAGCTCCCAGGCTGAGGCTCAGACCTCTGCAGCCCCCTCCCTGGGGGGCCGGCCACCTTTAGCCGGATGAGCAGGAGGGCGACCGGAGTTGACCACAGGGTGACGGCTTAGCTCACAGGAGGTGCGAGTGTGGATGGGTGCTCACATGACTCAGTGAGGTCGCTCCTTAAATTGGAGGACACGTGAACTCGTTCTGGGGTTTAGTGCGTGTAGGGCCCCATGGGACCTGGAGAGCTGGTGGCTCTTCCTGTTTATGTGACTCTCCGGCGTGGACCCCATTCTCCGCTTCCACCGTCTGCCTTCTTCACTCTCGTCTCTGTGCTTTTCCCTGCCTCCTGCCTGCAGCCGCCTCATAGTCTCTGCTTTCTCGTGGCTTCACTTCCTTCTTCTCTGTTGCTTGGCATCTCCATCTCATTGAATCCTATTCTAATTGCTCCCTTGGCTGTGCCTCCCACGCACCTGGCGGCAGTGGAGAGGGCAAGTGTGTCTTCTCCATGTGACCTGAGAGTGGACAGCACATAGTAAATACTTGGGGACTGGGAATTAGAATGGCATCATGTGTGGCTTGTGGTGTCAGACCACTTGGGTTTGCCTCAGACCCTTCCCTCCCCACTTATTGGCTGTGTGATCTTAGGCATGCTGTATGACCTCTCTGTGCCTTGGTTTCCTCTTCTGAAGAAATGGAAGTAATAATATTACTAACCTACTAATCTCACTGGGTGGATTGAGTCTCTGAGCCTCAGTTTCCTCATCTGTAAAATGGACAAAATAATAGACTCTCATTGTAGAGTTGTTTGGAGGACTAGATGCTCAAGCATGGCAAGTGCTTGTCCCGGAGCCTGGCGCAGAGTAAGCGCTCCAACAGTGCATTGTCCATCTCGGTCCTATTGCTCACCTACTGGTGCCCTTGAGCTGGTTACTTAGTTTCCCTGGGACTCAGGTCCTCCATCACTCCATGAGGGATGGACCAGGTACATGCACTTGCCTGTGGGATGTGTCCCTTTGGCCCACAGAGGGGCTGGGTGGTCACAGAATGGACAGTGAATCACTCTGAATGAAGCAGGGTCATTGGGGACCCACTGTCCTTAGGATTCACTGAGAGAAAGACTTGTCTTGGGGATAAGCACTTAGGCCCTCAGGTCCCACTGTTCAGGGAAACTGACCTGCAAGATCACGAACGCCAGACCTAAGATGCTGAGCTGTCTTCTTCCTCCAGACGGTGAGGATTCCCCTCCTCTCAAAATGTCCAGCTGGAAGAATCACCAAGGTCACGAGGGGTCAGGGCTGGGCTTGTCTGGATCTCCCGCGACTCTGCCACCAACCCGATGGCAGGAACACTAGTTGCCAAGAGAGGGCTCGGAGGGATGAGGGGCCCTGGGACTCTCGGCTCGTGTTGTGATAGTTGCTGCTTCGCTCGGAGTCTGTAGTTGGCGGTGGGGCGGGAAATGGAGGGGAGGCAGGTTAGGGCTGTGCCGGGTGTGTCGTTTGATCAGACTGAAGACAACCGAGAAAACACTGACCACCCTCACTGTGGACACTTGGCTGCCCCCACATAGAAATCTGTCTTCCATTTGTTCATTAATTCAGGCCACAATTGCCCAGTGCCTATGACATGCAAGGCACTGGCCCAGGTGCTGGGGACACAGGGCTGCCTTCCTGGAGCTTGCACTCTAGTGTGAGAAGCAGACGACAGACAGGTGACGAGATAATAGAATTTTGGTGGGGATGTGGCCAGGTGAGAGTGTGCGGTGCAGGGATGGGTGAAACAGGGGTAGAGATGCTCCCCATAGGACTGTTTGGAGGATGAGGTGAGGAGATGCATGTAAACTGGCATACAGTGGGTGCCAACTAAATGAGGGGCTGATGCAGCGCAGGGTTGGGGCACCTGCTGCCCTGCTGGGTGTCGAAGGAGCTGTCCTTTCAGCACTGGCCGGCCTCAGCTTGGTGCTCTCCTCCTCGACTGAGAACCTAGGCTGACAGATTTGCGGGGAGATACAGGAAGTGAGAGTGGTCCAGAAACCCCACTCCCGCAGCAGTGCAGAAACGCACCTTTAGATTCATCCAGACGCAGCCCACCCTTTCACGTTTCTCCCAAGTCCCAGGACTCGAGCAGGAGAGGGTATGGCAGGTCCCCCGTCTTTGCTCACTGTTCCCCAGCCAGACAGCAAGCTGCTTGGAGCGGGGGTGGGCTGGGGGCTGTTCGAACCGTGCGTCCCCTGGGGGGTAACGTGGTCTGGCATGTGGTGGGCATTCCATGTTTGTCCACTGGTTGGGCGCCCAGAGTTGGTTAGCTGGTCCATTGATTCATTCAGACACCTTGTTGAGAGGCAGGGGCTGGGTGCAAAAATGAATCCTATGGAAAGATGCTCATCATCACTAATCATCAGGGAAATGCAAATCAAAACTACACTAAGATATCACCTTACACCCGTTAGAATGGCAAAAATATTCAAAACCAAGAGTGACAAATGTTGGAGAGGTTGTGGAGAAAAAGGAACGCTCATACACTGTTGGTGGGAAGGCAAACTGGTGCAGCCACTATGGAAACGGTATGGAGATTTCTCAAAAAGTTAAAAATAGAAATACCTTATGATCCAGCCATCCCGTTACTGGGTATCTATCCTAAGAACCTGAAATCAGCAATTCCAAAAGTCCCATGCACCCCTATGTTCATTGCAGCATTATTTACAATAGCCAAGATGTGGAACCAACCTAAGTGCCCATCAAATGATGATTGGATAAAGAAGATGTGGTATATATACACAATGGAATACTACTCAGCCATAAAAAAGGACAAGATCGTCCCATTCACAACAACATGGATGGACCTTGAGGGTATTATGTTAAGCGAAATAAGCCAGACAGAGAAAGACGAACTCTGTATGACTCCACTCATAGGTGGAAGTTAACATATAGACAAGGAGAAGTGATCGGTGGTTGCCAGGGGAAAGGGTAGGTCAGGGGAGGGCACAAAGGGTGAAGTGGTGTACCCACAACATGACTAACAATAACGTACAACTGAAATTTCACAAGGTTGTAAACTATCATAATCTTAATGAAAAAAAAAAAAGCTTTGGAAAAAAAAATGAATCCTCTGCAGAACTTGCCTCCTCCTTTCCAGAAGCTCATAGTCTAGGGGAGGACTGAGTCTGCTAATCATACCCTGTGAACAAATGCATAATTGAGATATGAATGAATATGCTGCAAATGTAGGTATGCTTTATGCTTGAGTGCCTAGGCGAGGGGGTCTTGAGGGTGAATTTGGGACTTCCGGTTATAAGTAACAGAAGCTTCAATCTGAACTGGCTTAAAGCAAAAAACAAAGAGAATGAGAGGGAAGGAAGCAAAGAATGGGAGGGAGGAGGAAGGAGAGAAAGAAGGAGGAGGAGGAGGAGAGGAAGGGAAAAAAGGAAAGGAAAAATGTTGTTGGTACTCAGAAATGAAAAGTATGTGGGTTCAGGTACAACAGGATCCAGGGTCTCAAGGAGAACCCAGCCCATCTCTCTCCACCTGTGTGCTGTTTCCCCAGGTGGCTCCATTCTCTGGACTGCTCACAGCCCTTGTGGATGGAGAGTTTCTTTTTCCCCACAGAATCACCACTCTCCTGGAATCGAGCTTCCTTGTCCTGGCTTGGATTACACGTCCATCCTCGAGTCTGTCACCAGGGTCGGGGAAGGACTCCACCAGGTCTAGATCACAGCTCTTCCTTTGGAGCTTGGAGTTTGGGAGTCAGGCATGGCTTGGGATGCTCCACTTGAACTCGATGGAGGGGGAGGAGAGAAGGGGTGGCCGAAACCAAAAGTGGTTGCTGTTATGAGATTGAGAGAGGACAGATGCTGGATGGACAAACCCCACCACTACCCGCCATTGGACAGGAGAAGCTGCGGAGAGCTTGAGGCATTTGGGTGGGTCCTTCAGGATGAATAGGAGTTCAGCAGGGAGGCTGGCGGGTGTGGGGAGGGGGGGGGGGGGGGGGGGGGGGGGGTGAGGGGGGGCGGGGAATTCCTGGAAGAGGGCAGAGCGTGAGAGAGGCATGGAGGGGGAAGCGCAGGGATGCCCAGGGAGGAGTTGGCAAGGCTGGGGCTCAGACTGGGCAGTGGGGAGGATGCTGGGTCTGGCCCCCAAGGACCCCGGGGTACACCCAGCAGCTGGCCTTTCTCCTGTGGGCCCCGGGACGCCATTGAGGCTCTTCCGCTGAGGGTGGCATGGGTTCCAGAAGAAGAGGAACTCATGGGAGGGCCTCTTTCAGAGACCATCACAGCAGTAAACAAGTGGGGGCTTTCTGGGATGCAGAGGCACAGGGGAACGGGCTGGAGGCGCGGGAGCTGCGTGGGGAGGTCTGCTTCTCTCATTCCCTGACTGCGGGAGGTTGCATGCACCAAAACCTCCGTGCGTGTTTCTGCAGAACCAGGACGCTCTTACGGAATGAGATTGAAGAAAGGAAATTTAGCCTTCAAACAGAATGACATTCTGACGCATGCTGTGACATGGATGAACCTTGAGAACGTTATGCTGATGCACAAAATGCTATTACTGCATCGTGCTAATAAGCTAATCAACAAAAGGACAAGTCACGTATGATTCCACTTATCTGAGGTCTCTGGAGGAGTCAAATTCATAGAGACAGAAAGTGGAACGGAGGTCACCAGGGGCTGGGAGGGGGATGAGGAGTCCGTGTTAATGGGGACAGAGTGTCAGCTTGGGCAGAGGAGAAAGTTCTGGAGTTGGATGGTGGGGATGGTTGCACAGCAATGGGAATGTACGCACTGCGCTGAACTGTGCCCTTAAAGATGATGAAAAGGATAAATTTTACACTATGAGTATTTCACCACAATTTAAAAAGTTCCTTTAAGAAAACCTGGCTGAAAATGGTAACATATGCAGGTCATTTATTAAATGTGAGAAGAAACAGAAAAAAAAAGTTTAGCATTGACACAATGTTGTTCGATAGCGTCCACATGTAGATTCTACCCATCGCCCCATTGCTGTCCCAGTTCCCGCTTTCCCGTGGTTCCCTCCGATCCCGGATCTGGTTTGGGATCCTGATCGCGTCGTCTGGGTAGCTTCCTCTCACCCAGAACTCACCTCTAGCCTTCCTCTGTCTTGGAGACCTTTGCGTCTGCAGCATCCAGCCCGGGGGTTCTGTGGACTCTGGCTCCATTTGGGGTCCTTGACCTGTTCTCCTGATCAGACTGAGGCTCTGCGTTTTTGGCAGAAGTGATGCTGGTCCTTCTCAGTGCCTCCCAACCCGGGGTTCATAGCTTCGGTCTGTCCTTTCAGTGTGACGTTAACCTTGATCCCTTGGTTGGCAAGTTTCTCTCCATAACCTGACTGTTTCGTTTGGTAATTAATAGCATTTGGGGGGGGGCACAGGGAGGGGGTATTTCAAGATTATGTAAATATTCCATTCCATCCTATGAACTTGCATTCAAAAAGTAGAGAGGACGATATAATGAACCCCTGACACTTATAGCCTAAATTTGACAGTTACGAACGTTTTGCCGTAAGTACTCGCTTCGCCTCCTTGCTTTTTCTCTGGGGAAGTCTTTGAAGGCAAATTTTGGATGATATCATTCAGTCCCCATCTCTCAGCAGTCTTCCATAACCGCAAGCTCCCTATCACACCTGACGGCGTTGGCAACCGTTCCTGACCCCGAGCACTTGAGATGTGGCTGGTGCCACTGAGGAACTGGGCTGCAAATTTTATTAAGTATTAGTGGATTTACATTGGCTCAGCCGAATGTGGCCAGCGGCTGCCCCCTGAGCTAGCACAGCTGTAGAGCCTCGATTCGATTTGGGATCGACGACGTCCTTGGGAAGAAAGGCAAGAAGCTTCGCATTGTGTCTCTCCAGGAGGCACCAGACGCCTGACTGTCCCGTTTCTGGTGATGCTGAGATCGATCTTGGGGCCTCCGGGGTAATCTTGGGGAGCTCAGCTCCTCGGGTTGAAGATGCCGTTGCTTAGCAACCTCTTGCCGATGGTCCTTGCTTCGTTGGTTATCGTTGTCTGAATCAATGACTTCCTTAGCGGCTGTAGTTGTGTGGTTTCCAGGATCCTCTCTGATGAAGACTCTCACTCCTGAACCTCTCTGCACACAGCGCACCCAGTGGGTGGATCCACGTTACTATCCAAGACAAAAGAGAAGGTTCGTGGCTTCCAAAGAAAGGCCCCGGGGGGAACGAACGGATCGGTCTGCTTGTAGTGTCAATATTCTTAGGATGTGTGGATGGTGTTTTGGGCTCCATGAGCCCCCGGGGTTGCGTGCACAATGTGTGTGTTTGTGTGCATGCATGCATGCATGTGTGTGCATTTTGCCTCAGAAACCCGTAGGTCTCTGGGAGCATCTCTTTCTCCCAGTAGGAGCTGCCTTGTTTAGGAATGGATGCCTGAATCCTGATCACAGGGGATGGAGCTGGGCTGAAAACCAGCTTCAGCATATCCCAGGGCCCCCTGCTTTGGAATTTCCACGGCTCCACCCTGCCCCGACATGGTACCCTGGACCCTGGGCCATCGGCTATGGTCTGTGGCTGTAGGCTATGCCAGGGCATGTGGCCCTGTGTTGGTGGGAGTGGGCCACTCTAAGGCCCCTGCCATGTTCCACGGGTCCCGGAGCGGCCACTCCTTTCACAGGGACCTGTCTGAGCAGTGAGAACACTATTTCTCGTGGAAGGATCGGCCGCTGCAGGATGCCCCAGGGTTCTGGCAGGAGGATGGCTGTGGAAGGCAGCCCCTACATCTCTGGAGTTAGAGCTGCTTATGCTCCCTCCAGGCGAGCCCAGGGCTAAAGGTCCCGTTGGGGGTGGATGGGGGATGTTGCTGAATTTCTTCACCAAGTTCCTCCCAGTGGATTCCCGTTTGGGACTCACCTCTTAGAAGGTGTGTTCCGGTGCCTTCGCTGTGAGGAGGATGGTGGTGGTTCTGTGAGCTCACGGGAAATGTTCTGGATGGTAACCCCATCGTGTCCTCAGGGAGAGGAGAAACGTGGGGACTGAGACATGGCAGGGAGGCCACAGGGCGCTGTGTTAGGAGAGCGAGGGCAGGCGGGGCCGTGGCCTGTCCCTTCCAGAGGCATTGGGAAGAAAACAAATGTGGGTCCCACCCTCGGCTGGCTACCGCACCCCGGCCCCGCCCGTGGAGCCAGGGGGAGTGAAGGAGCTTCCAACTGTGAAGTGCCGTGCCAACAAGCCCCTGGAGTCGGCAGCATCCTCACGTGGGACTGGAGTAATTCAGAAGCAATATTGCCTGCTTGCCCCATATCAACAGATCCTGCTCTTGGCTCCTGAGAATCTGCCTTAGTTTGGGTTTCCCCAGAAGCAGACCCCGAGACTAGGATTCAAGGGCAAGCAGCGTGTTTGGGAGGTGACCCCAAGGTTCATCAATGGGAGAATGGGGGAGTGAGAACAGGGAGGGGCACGCAGCCCCCCTGAAGGGTTTATGAAGAAGCAAGTTGGCACCGTGGGCACCCGGAGCCTAATTCTGCTTGGAAGATGGCTCGGAATTCTTCCCACCGAGGGCAGAGGGCTGGGGTGGGCTGGAGTCTTCCTCAGCTCCCCGTGAGTCGCTGTCGAGGCTGCATCCTCCGGCACTAACTCTCGGGCGCTTGCAGCCGCAGGGCAAAGGCCCCACCTTGCTTCTGCAGCTAGAGCGCTCAGGCCTGGGGCGTGCGGCTGCGGGGTCCAAATGCCGAGGAGCAGCTGGGCACCCACAGCATCGAGGGCAGTGGGCCGACCATTCGGGCTTGCATCTGCCCCTTGTTATAAAAATTGCAGAGGTGGGGGCCTCACCCCAGGGGTTACTGGTTCAGGAGTCTGGGTTTCCATGGCAGCATCTCACTGTTATCTTGCGGGAGCTTCCTGTGAGGCCGGGAGGAGGGGGTGGCCCTGCTTTAGAGATGTGGACTCTCATTGTCCCAGAGGAGAAGAGATTCCCCAGGGAGGCATGGGGAGGGTGCAGGGCTGTGGTCTGACCCAGGTCCTCGGGGTCAGTACCATCAGCTGCACACCTCCAGGGGGCGCCGTTCATGTGGAATGCCATGTGCAGCCTGGCTGAGACCTGTGTTCTCCTACAGACCATGTGGGATTTCCTTGCACCTAGCACCCGGTCCAGCCTCGGCCCCTCCCACCCCTCCCTCAGTTTCCCCTTCCTGTCCCCGGCTCTCTCCCCCCGGGGATTTTGATCTCGCAGCCATTCCATTCCGACGTGGCGCCAGCCCAAGGACTGTTTTTTCCCCACTCTGTTTCCCAAAGGCTGAGCCAAGATGCTGTCTGCCATGCAGGAGGAGCCATGAATTCATGAATGGACACAAAGAGTAGCCGGGGCTGAGCTGGAGAAGGGGAGAGGCTCTGAGGGCCCGGGGCCAGCTTGGAGCCTCTGTGGGACAGACGGACAGACCCCCTTTGTCTCCTGGACAAATCTCTTTAGTCCTCAGCGCTGGGGATTCAGGCCACCGCCACCAGGCACGGGCCCAGCCTGGAGGGGGCGGCCACAGCCGTTCTCCTGGGCCCGGGCTCATTTGGGAGGGAGGCCGGCTTTTCTCCAGGGGCTATGACGGACCCCAGGCAGGCCCGGGGCCAGAAGGAGAGGGGGAAATTGCAGCTCTGAGGCTGGGCCTGGGGAGGACGCAGGAGGGGAGACCAGCAGGGATGGGGCCCAGGTGATGGGGTCAGGGAGGGACAGGCAGGTCAGCAAGCTTAAGCCCTGCCCTGGGGCAGAAATGCTGCCCCCGGCTGCCTGTAGAGACCCCAGGGCGGTGGTTTCGAAAGTGCTCCTTCTTCAGATCTAGCCCAGCAGCAGCCTGTCCATCTTTAAACCCTTCAGTGGAGTGTAACGTACGGGAAAGCGTGCCTCCCTATCACGACTCCAGGTGAGCAACCTGTGGAACCAGCACCCGGATCAAGATGCTCGACGCTGTTGGTTGCCGGAAACCCCTTCATGCCCCCTCCAGTCACTGCCAAGGGTGGCCACCACCCTGGCTTTTATCCTCAAACGCCCCTGGTGCCAGTTCTTGAAGTTTATATATATAGGATCCAGGAGTGGATACTGCCATTCGGCGTCGTATCTGAGATGCGTCCGTCTTTCTGCAAGCAGTCGTTTGCTCATTCTCATCGCCGTCTGGTGTCCCGTTGTGTGAATATCCCCCGTTTATTTCCATTCTGCCCCGGATGGGCATTTGGGTGGTTTCCAGGACTCTCTTTGGCACTGGCCGCTCCCTGCTCCCAACTAGGATGTGGCCGGTTCGAGAACGTCTGGTCTCCAACATTGATTTCCATATTTAAAACGTTTTCGTTTTATTATTTTTTTTTAAAAGATTCCTAAAGGAGTAAATGGACATGGTAGCCAGTCAAACAACACAGAAATAGAAAGAAAAAAATACTATTTCCTGCCCTTCTCTCCCCGTCTCTCCTCTGGTGCTTCTTTTCATTCCTTCTGCTTGTCCCAGTCGGCAAACTGGCCCCACCCCTAGGATGGTGTGGCCTTGGGCAAGCCGCTTGTTCTGGCCGGATTAACCCATGTCTCAGGAGTCTGTCCGTTCCAAAAATTCTAACTGTGCCTAACTTGTTATCTTGAGTCTGAACGACTTAAGCAGTGCTCCGAGGATCGAGTGTTCCGTTATTGGCCGGGCCTTACCTGTTGGGTGCACGGCTCTGCATCGGTGTAACTGAGCGAGGGCTCGTTCTGCTCGCCCCAACCCTGAAGCCAAATCAATTGCAAGACGAGTTGGTGGTGGAGAAAGGGGTTTATTCCATTAGCCAGCGAAATCGGAAGATGGTGGAGTCATGTCCCGAAGACCATCTTACTCAAGCACAAGGTTTAAGCAGTTATGTAGGGCCAGCGGGCTATAAAGGAAGGGGTTGGGATTGTTGACCATCTGGCGTCAGGGACTGGAGGCCCCACCCCAGGCCTTTCAGGTGTCATTGGTGATGGATGTCAGCATAGATGTGTTTCTTCGAGGAGGTCGGCGTATTCCTGAGAAAGTCAAAAGAACAGAGCTAATATTTATCTCTACAGGGAGGTACCTACAGAACGTGCGTATTTCCCAGAGGGTGGTTATAAAAGTCACTTAGGCTACGTGCAAGTTAAAACATGCACTATGTGGGCGGGTTGGTCAGAGGTTATTCTAAGTTACGACACGGCTTCCCTCATGTCAACCTTGCTGTAGGCTGGTATCACTGGTACCAGGAAGGTGAAGATGAATCAGGGCCAGTCCCCTGGTTTGCAGTCTAGGCGTGGAAGCAGACCCAGAAACTCCCAAATACATATTGTATGTGCTATGATAGGGGTTGCACGGGCAGTTGTGGGAGTCCAGAGGAAAGAGTCCGTCTCTCTGCCCAGGAGTGCTCCAGGAAGAGAAAGAGGGAAGGAGAGTCCAAGCAAATGACTTGTGCGGTGGCCTAGAGGGGAGAGAAGGCAGTTTATGACCCAGTCTGGATGGGAGTGTGAGGGTAGCGATCAAGGAAGGGCTTTTCAGGAGAGGGGACTTTTGCCATGGGTTCTGAAGGCTGAATAGGAGTTTGCCAGTTTGAGAGAAGAGAGAAAGGGATTTTCAAGCAGAAGAAACAATGTGTGGAAGGCCCAGGGGCATCATGACTCTGGGCCTTGGAGAGAGCTTTCCTGGGGTGAGGAGGATTGTAGGGACTGAGTTAGCGATAGGACACAAGTAAGTAGATCCCCCTGGAAGACAGGGTCTTCTAGCCCATGCAGAAGCTGCCTGGCGTTTTTGTTCTTGTCCTTGGCACAGGCACTCATGCTCTGCCTTGGCCCACAGACCTGGGAGTCTTGGTGTGGACTTTCCAAGGTGGGAGGGACTGACAGAGCCAGGGCTCAGGGGGACTGGGGATCGTGGGTAACTTGTGGCCGGGGTGCTCTGACCACTGGCCGATGAGGTGGGGATTTGAGGAGCTGGGAAAGGGCTCCAGCCCTGCCCTTCCTTTGCCTCCAGATCCACAGCCAGTCCTCCATCCTGCAGAGGATGGTCGGATCCATTATACTATCACGTAAGAGACTGACGGCAGAACCCTTCCCATCAGGACCACGGACAGGGCTGGAGGGGGCCATGGGTGTGGTGGGAGGTGTGAACCTGGAGTCAGAAGGTCTGGCTTCCAGTCTTAGCCACACCGCTGCTAACTGGGGCTTCCCTTCTCTGAATCCTTGTGTGAAATGACAACCACGATCTGGGCCCTGCTCAGTTGATGGCATCGTGAGGTCCAGAGAGAAGGAGGGTCGTGAAGGCTTTCGGGTAACTCTCCCACCAGGGAGGGCTGCCTCCTGCCTGCCCCATGCCCACAGTCACAGCATCCCTCTCCTGCCACACCTAGAGTCACTCTTCTTTGCAACACAGCACTGCAGGCAGCCTGTGCCAGCCCGTCAAAGTCGGCACGTGAGCCCTGGCTGAGCCCGGCGTACGTTTGGTGGTCCTGGGGTCCCGTGGCATCCCTGATGTGTGGCACCTGTCCAGGTGGGGCCCCCCATCCCCTCCCTGCTGGGCTCCTCCTTGGGTCCACTGCTTGTCAACCTTGCCAGTACACTGGAATCACTTGGGAAGCTTCAAAAATGCCGATGCCCGGGTCCCTCCCCTCGCGGTTCCGTTTTAATTGTCGGAGATGCGGCCTGGGCGTCGGGATTTTTCAGGTCTCCTCTGGTGATTCTTGTGTGCAGCCGCATCTGCCCTGCGAGGCGGTGATGCAGCTGTGTCTGGAGCAGCCCAGGGTTCCAGGGTGGGGGTGATGACCACGCAGCTGAGACCCAGCACCTGTCACTTCCTTGCTGACGTGTTCACAGGGGGTCTTTGTAAGGACATAGATTTGCCTGTGGCCTGAATTTTTTTGGTAAACTACACGTGACATAAAATTGTATTTGGAGCACGTGTCAGAATCTCCTTCCTTTTTAAGGCTGTGTAATATTCCATTGTATGCATAGACTACACTTTGCCTGCCCATTCATCTGTCAGTGGATGCTGGGGTTGCTTCCACCTTGTGGCTTTTGTGAATAATGCTGCTGTGGACATGGGGGAGCAAGGATCTATTCAAGTCCCGGCTTTCAGTTCTTTGGGGCGTAGACTCGAGAGTGGAATTGCTGGATCATATGGTCATTCTGTGTTCAGTTTTTTGAGGACCAGCTGCACAGTTCACAGTGCTGCACCCTTTGCACTCCCACCAGGCGCACACAAGGTTCCAGTTTCTCCACGGCGTCACCAACACTTGTCTTTTTGATGATGGCCACCCTGATGGGGCGAAGTGGTGAGCCCGATTTCTAAAGCAAAGCTTCCTTTTTCCCTTACTTCTACACATCGTACACCTCTTCCAGAGGTACTGGGACCAGCATGTGTTGAGTACCTACTGTGTGCAGGGGACGTCCCATGTCACGTCTCGTCCTCCACGGGGCAGACGTCCGTCCCCTTCTGGAGCGCAGGCTTCGAGGTCAGACAGGCGGGGGCTGAAATCCTGGCTCTGTCCTTTCCCGGCTCTTGTGCCACGACTGTTGATTTGATTTTTCCGGGCTTCAGTTTCCTCAGCTGTAGAATGGAGTTAAGAATAGGATGTCTGTCATCGGCTATGAGGAATCATAGCCCCAGAATCATTAACGTCGGTCAGGTGTCAAGTGTGCTGGGAGCCGTGCACGGATTAACCCATGTCATCCTTTTATAGTCCTCTGAGGTGCATGCTGATGTTATCCCCACGGCTCAGATGAGAAAACGAGGCCCAGAGAGCTTCAGTAACTTGCAGATGGACACGCAGCCGGCAAGGGGTGAAGCCGGGATGGAATCTAGCTTCTCTGCCCCCGGAGTGCCCGATCGTGATTATAAACGCTAATGCGTGCTCAGTAGATGCTGCAAGGCGGGTGTAAGCCACAGCAGAGGCTCAGGGAGCTGAGGTTTTCCCTTGGGGAAGAGGAGCTCCCCAGGCCTAGCTCCACCTCGTCTGAGGAGGGCAGCAGACGGACAGCCCTTTACAGATGGGAAGCACCTTCACTGGTGTGCTGTGAGCATGGAGTTAAGTCTCTGAGCTGCCCTGCAGGAGGCTGGCAGATCCGATAGGGTCGGTTCCGCAGGACGGACCCATGGCTGCACGTGCAACAGAGAAGGGGGCAGGATGGGGTGTGTTGCTGAGAAACTGGGAGACCGTAGTTAGCATCACGTGATTGTGACAGCCCCTGCATTTGGAGGGTTCGCTGAGTTCACTCAAATCTGCCCCTGCACTGCGCCCCACTGCCTGTTCCAAACCTGAGAAGCCCGAGCATGGGCCACCTTAATAAAGGACTGGGGCAGGCACCCTGAGGGAATCCAGCACCGTATTAGCTACAAAGCTGAGCCTCAGCAAAGCATAATTTACCCGAAGGAAACACTTAAAAGTGTTCCGGGGTTTGTGTTGGAAGGAGAGAGGAGAAACAGACTTTCTGCCAACCATCCTCCCATCCGTTCAGACATCTGCTTATCTACCTATCTATCTACTTATTTTTCTACCAAGCTATGTGCCTCTCTCTCCTATCTACCTACGTCTTCACCTGTCCATCTCTCCATCCGTTTATTCCCCATCCATCCATCTATCCAAACTTCCATCCATCCATCCATCCATCCATCCATCCTTCCATCCTTCCATCCCTCCATTTATTCCCCATCCATCCATCCATCCAAACTTCCATCCATCCATCCATCCATCCATCCATCCAAACTTCCATCCGTCCATCCATCCTTCCATCCTTCCATCCCTCCATCCATTTATTCCCCATCCATCCATCCATCCATCCATCCAAACTTCCATCCATCCCTCCCTCCATTCCCCATCCCCCCATCCTCCCATCTGTTCCCCCATCCTCTCATCCCCCGTCCGTCCATCCATCCCCCCATCCTCCCATCCATCCATCCCCAATCCATCCACCCATCCGTCCTTCCAGACATGTATCTACTTATCTAGTTATTTGTCTATCAAGCCATTTGCCTATCTGTCCTGTCTATTTACCTACCCACCTACCCATCTGCTACGGACTGATTGTTTGTGTCTTCCCGAAATTTATGTGTTGAAGCCCCAGTGCCCAGCGTGATGGTATTTGGAAGTGGGGCCTTTGGGAGGTAATTAGGATTGGATTAGCTCATGAGGGTGGGGCCCTCCTCATGGGATTAGTGCCCTAATGGAGAGAGGAAGAGACCCCGGAGCTCTCTCTCCTCCATGGGAGGACCCAGTGAGAAGGTGCCATCTGCACACCAGGAGGAGGACTGTCACCAGACGCTGAGTCTGCTGGCATCTCCATCCTGGGTTTCCTGGCCTCCAGAGCTGCGAGAAAGAAAGAGAATGCATAAACAATCACGAACAGAACATTGGTAGAAATATGCATGGCGGAGCCCCTTCTGATGAGGTCTCAGAAGGAGATGAGGAAGATGTCATTGGACGGGGGAGAAAAGGTGGTCCTTCTCGTGACGTGGCAAAGAGCTTGGCTGATTGTGTCCTAGTGTTTTGTGGCAGGTGGAACTTGCAAGTGGTGAGATTGGATGTTGAGCTAAGGAGATTCCTCAGCAAGGTGTTGACGGAGCGGCTTGGTTCCTCTGGCGGCTTATGGTAAATGCCAGAAGAGAGGAATGAATGGAAGAAGGAATTGTTAAGCAGAAAAGAACCAGAATGTAAAGATTTAGAACATTCTCAGCCTGTCTATACTGTGAAAAGTGAGGACTTGTGTTCAGAAGAGAACATCCAAGGTGGGGCCAGCCCCCCGTTTCATCAGGAGATTAGTGTGGGTGGGAACCACGGACATCATCAGCCGTCTCAGCTGAAGCCAGGAACAGAAAGGGGATTAAACCAGCAGGGACTAAGAAGACTGGGCCAGATAAAGGAAGGCTGCACACGTGCTGTTTCTCAAGAAAGGGGAAGGACGATGACGAAGGCAGTTTAGATGTCCTCAGGACTGCTGCTCCCCCCACAGCCCTGCAGACAGGGTGGTCCCTCCTCAGTTTCAAAGAATGGGGTCGCCTCTCTGATTTTGCTGGCCGGGATACCCCTGCCCAGTGCCTCAGGGGCGGGGCGACCTCCTGAGCTGGGGGCGGGGTGATGCCGTCACCCCAGGGGGCTGGAGAGCAGAGCCTCGGGCCAGAGGATTATTCTCGAGCCTTAAGATCTCGAGGAACTTGCCTTGCTAAGTTCTGAACTCCTTCCTTCTTTCCGCTTTCTCCCTTTCGGGATGGGAATGTCTGTCGGAGGCCTGTCCCACCACTGTATTTTAGAAGCACATAATTGGTCTGGTTTCCCAGGTTGGGAAACAGCTGAAGAGGAATTTTGCCTCAGGATGAGATCTCACCTGTATCTGATTTAGATGGTCTTGAGATGAGACTTTGGAATTTTAGAATTTAGAGTTGATGCTGGAATGAGTTAAGACTTTCACGGCCGTTGAGATGGGATGAACGTCTTTTGCCCCTGAGAAAGACGTGAATCTGAAGGACCAGCGGTGGAATGCTGTGGACTGAATGTTTGTGTCCCCCTAAATCCATATGTAGAGGCCCCACCCCCAATGTGGTGGTATTTGGAGGTGGGGCCTTTGGGAGGTATTAGGGTTAGATTAGGTCATGAGGGTGGGATCCTGATGATGGATTAAGGCCCTTAAAAAATGAGGGAGAGACCCTAGAGCTCCCTGCCATGTGAGGAAACACCAGCAAGGTGGCCATGCGCAAACCAGGAGGAGGGTTCTCACCAGACGCTGAATCTGCCAGCACCTCCATCTTGGATTTCTCAGCCTCCAGAATTATGAGAAATAAATGTTTCTTATTTAAGTCACCTAGTTACGGTATTTTGTTATAGCAGCCCAAACTAAGACACCATCCATTCATCTCTCCACTCCTCATCCTCTATCCATCCCAACATGCCCCATCCCTAGTCTGTCCATCCGTCCATCCATCCATCCACCCATCATCCCTAATCCATCCATCCATCCATCCCTAATCCATCCATCGATCTGTCCATCCATCCATTGATCTGTCCATCCATTCATCCCTAATCCGTCCATCCATCCATCCATCCATCCTTCCATCCATCCCTACTCTATCTATCCATTCATGCATCCATCCCTAATCCATCCGTCCATCCCCAATCCATCCATCGATCTGTCCATCCATCCATTGATCTGTCCATCCATCCCTAATCCGTCCATCCATCCATCCATCCATCCATCCTTCTATCCATCCCTACTCTATCTATCCATCCATCCATCCACCCATCCATCCATCCTTCCACCCCTAATCCATCCATCCATCCATCCCTACTCTATCCATCCATCCATCCATCCTTCCATCCTTCCACCCCAATCCATCCATCCATCCATCCAGACAGCCATCCATCTATCCATCCAGACATCTATCTACCTATCTACTTATTTATCTATGAAGCCCTTTCTTGTCTACCTACTTACTCACCTACCCATCCATCTAGTTCCACAGTCAATAAATTGAAAACGTATTGGAAAATATGGCCGTTGTCCTGTGGGCAGTGGGAGAGCCAATGAAAAAATTTAATTGATCATGAAAAGTTGAAAATTCTACTTTTCATGATCAATTAAATTTTCAGATTGTGGCATCTGTAAAACCGAGGTGCATCGATGACGTCTTCGGGGAGTTGTGGGCATCAGCACACAGCCCCCCTGCTGCCAGAAAGCTCTTTGGGCCCTACAATAGTTGAGTCCATATGTTTTCCCTCCACCTACTTCCTTTATCCTGGGCAGCCCTGTGCTGAGTTAAAGGTCAGGGTTCCTAGGGAGTGAGGGGAGGATGGGTGCTGGGTGATGACTGTGCCCCTGCCACACAGGGAATGCTGGAACAGTGGGATACTGAAGCTGGCATTGCCTCATAACCCCCTACCCCTTCCCCAGCTCCCTCTCCAGCCTGCGGCTTCCCTCCCAGCCCCTGAGCATGCCTCCTCCTTCCTGCCACCGGGCTTTTCCTGAAGCCCTTCCAG